GGGGCTTGACCCGGCCCGGCTCCACTCAGCCGCCTCCTCCCACACACTGCCTGCTGCTTGCTGCTCACTCCTGATCAGTGGGGAAGCAAAAACCACAGTTTTAAATATGGAGCCATTTTTGCCACTCATTGCTGATTGGCCAAGGGGCCATGGCAGCTCCACAGTGTGTTACTGACTGGTTGAGAGGCAACAACTGCACCATATTTAAAACCACGGTTTTTGCCGCCTCGCTGATCAGGAGGGACCAGTGAGCGATGGGGTGGGGGGGATGCGTGTGGGAACCTGCAAAATAGGTGGGAGCAGCTCCTCTGATTTTTTCAGGTTCCAGCTTGCACCACCACAGACATGGGGAGCAGCCCGGAGCGGCAACTTAAAAAAAAATATATTTTTTTATCATTTTCCTCATCACACCTCCTGGCATGCCGAGGAAAATGTCCCCACGTGCCACTAATTGGCATCCCTGTTGAGGGTTGCATATTTCTGTACTATGGCTATTTCCCGTGCTTCTGGGCTTTGCTGGTTGCCTCATGGGGCTGGGAGGGAATCCCTTTCCCCTGTTTTTCTGCTTTGTGTTAGGTTTTTTTTTGTTTGTTTTTTTTTTAAGTATTCCTCAGAGGCATTGGATGTTGGCTGCAGCAAAGGCTGGGCATGCCAATGCTTCTGTTGGGATTTCATGCCAGATGTTTCTTGCTAGAGGGTCTTGCCTCTTCACTCAGGGTCAGACTAATCACCATATTTGGGGTCAGGAAGGAATTTTAGCCCATGGTTATGTTGGTATAGACTGAAAGGGTTTTTGCCTTTTCCTGTAGCAGGGGACATGGCCCTCTACCTGGGATCTCTTAAGCATATATTAACAACCTTTAATGGAAGCGGGATGTTGGCTGCCATTGTCCCCTGCTTTACCCATGGCAGGTTAGGGTGTTATGCCTTATGTCATGTCAGAGTTGATGGTAGTTTTACTAAGAGGTTAGATTATGGATTTGTATAAAATGGTTTTGGATAAGGATAATTGTAGGTCAGACAGGGGTGTTGGACTAGACCAGTGTTTCTCAACCTGTGGGCTGTGACCCAAAAGTGGGTCACAAGAATATATGAAAGGGTTGCAAGTAAACTTTAAAAATGGATCAACAAACTTTTAAAACATGGTTTCTCCTTTGAAGGAGGAAAACGTGGGAAATCATGGTTTTCCCTTGCAGGTTGGCAGAGCTCCAGCCTGCGAGGGGCTGCTTGGGCCCCCTCCATTCCTCCCCCCTCTGCCCTGCACACTGCGGGAGCTGGGGGCTGGGGTAGGGGGTAGCGGGTCGGGAGTGTGCGGCACTGGGTCAGGACTGGCCATTGATGTTTACAAATCGGTCCTGGTATAAAAAAGGTTGAGAACCTCTGGACTAGGTGACCTCTGGAGGTCCCTTCCAGCCCCACTTCTCTGTGATTTGTATGATTGCTATGAATCCCTTTCACTTATTCAATGTCCCTTTTAAACTGTAGATGAGTCTTGAAGTTTGGCTGAGATGCCTGTTGCTTGTGCAACTTTGTGTCTTCGTTATATTTATTATCGCTCCCCTTGAAAACCTGCCTGCAGCTTCCAATCAAGTCTGGGAGTCTGAGCTGTCAATCTTGGAGCAAGTAAAACTTCTAGTGGCCTTAATGAGGTTCTGTATACACGTGGACTGCAAGACTGAGCCTTAAGGGAGTCATAACGCAGCATGTCAAGGCAGAAAGCCCGGCAGGACAAATTATGCTGAGGGGGAGCCAGCACGGGTTCGTAGCAGGTAGATCATGCCTGACTAATCTAGTCTCTTTTTATGACGTTACAAAACGCCTGGACACAGGAGGAGGGGTGGATGTCGTATACTTAGACTTCAGGAAGGCCTTCGATATGGTATCCCACACCATACTGGTGAACAAGTTAAGAGGCTGTGACTTGGATGACTACACAGTCCGGTGGGTGG